ACCGGTAAAAAGACACAAGCAATTTCTGTGTGAATTGGTGCTTCCTGAGAACCCTCAGAAAGTAGGGTCTCTGCTGTGCCTTCTTAACTAGCTCCTTAGTGTTTGCTGTCCAGGTAATGTCCTCCTTTATATAGACTCCCAGACACCCGAAGACTGTCACCTTCTCCACATAGTCCCCATTTATGAGCAGGGGCTGGATAGCTGTTTTATTCTTCCTTTAATCAGTTCCTTGGTCTTGGTGGTATTAAGAGCCAGGTTGTCATCTTTGCACCATTTGAATAGTTGCTGTACCGCATCCTAATAGGCCGACTCATCCCCCTCAGAGATTAGCCCTATCACTGTCGTGTCATCAGCAAACTTGATGATGGTGTTGCTGGAGTGGGTAGGATTACAGTCATGTGTGTACAGGATGTAGAGTAGGGGACTCAGTACACAACCCTGGGGGGATCCTGTATTGAGGTTAAGAGCTGAGGAGGTATGTGGGCCTACTCTGACTTTCTGGGTTCGGTCTGAGAGGAAATCCTTAACCCAGAGGCATGTAGAGTGGGGTAGGCCAAGGTCTACTAGTTTGGCCACCAATCTATGGGGAAGCATGGAGTTGAAAGCAGAGCTAAAATCTACGAAGAGTGAGTCAGAGCAGTATGAAGAGCAATGGCCAGAGCATCCTCCGTAGACCTATTTGCTTTATAGGTGAACTGATGAGTGTCCAATGTTGATGGTAAGCAGGAGAGAATGTGTTTTCTCACAAATTTCTCAAAGCACTTCATGATGACTGGTGTAAGTACCACTGGACGGTAGTCATTCAAGCTCTGGATTGTGGGCTGTTTCGGAATAGGGATGATGGTCGAGGATTTCAGGCAGGGAGGTACAGTAGTCTGAGACAGAGTCCATGTAACTTAAAAAAACGTTTTGTAAATCATTAATTTACAGCATCAGTTTTTAGCTGAGTATTGTACTATATATCTGCCTATACATCTCAGTGTTGGAGGTCTTTCCTGTGCATCTTATCTCTTTCAGATTACCATTTATCTTCTTTGCTCAGACCTTGAACATTGCAGATTGATGACAGAAACATTTCGCCACTTCCCCCTTTGTTACTTCTTCCCTTCTTTCCATTCATCAGCCATTTAAAGCTCCAGTGGCTGATACTGAAATGACACCTCCTCCAAAACCCATCTATCTTTTATGGGTCACTCATTGCTCTCGTCACAGTGGAAGCAGAGCGCTCCTCAGTGCAAGTCAGTGCTATTCAGAGTGGAACACCCTCTGAGACAAACTTCAGGTTTTTAGGTATAAACTTGACTATGCCTTCAGGTTCTTCTCTAATCTTTAACGCTATCCATCCCACTCTTCCATCCTATTTGCTCTTACCATCAATCAGCTCTGAGCCAAAAACCACAGCCTTGGCATTGGAGATGTTGACACAGTGGACCAAGGCCTCTAGTCTCAAATTGAAGTTGATGAGAGCAGCCTCTACTCCGATCTTGGCCATGCCCAGCCAGAGACCCACATACTGGGACCTGTTCTCCATAAAAAGGGCGACTACATCTCCCTCCTGGACAGAAACAAACAAATGGCCGTGTTATACTGACTGTTATCAGATGATTCTCTTTTCTATTTATTGCACACATTTCTCCATAAAGATGTGATATCACATCTCCCCCTGGATATAAAGTGATTGAATTTAACAATTACAGTAAAATAAATCTGTTCTGTGTTAGAACTGCTTGGAAATTAATGCTATTAATTACACATTCAATCATTTTCCATTTAGAAAAAGAGTATTTTTTTTTGATAGACACACATTATTAATTCTTCTTCCTCCATTTGAAAGAAAATTAAAATTTCTCCCCCAATCAAATTTAATTCTTATCAGTGGTGGGCAAGTTTTTAAAGCTTAACTTAAAGCAGTTGTATGAAATAAAGAGAGTTGTCCGAAGGTTTTGTGTTAAATTTTGCATTGTACACCTACCCTGAAGCCTCGTTCCAGCAGCAGGTTAGCCACTCTGTTGGAGTACTCATCTAACTGTCGGAAGGTCCACGATTCCCCAGTCCCCTCGAAAATGAGTGCTGGTTTGTCCCCGTGGCGGCGCAATGTTTCAGCAAAAATCTTGGGAATTGTGTTCTTCTCTCTGACGTGGCGCCTGACATTCATCCTCACCCGCAACAACACACTTGCCGCACTGAGGGAACAAGATCAAATTATTCATAGGTAACACTGGGCAAGTTCAAATATCTCTTCCTGCAATAACTCCCAACAATTAACCCACCAATATTTTCATTCAGAATAATTCAATAATCAAACCAAAATACTTTCAAGCTCACTGACAGCGAATGTTGACAGACTAATGTAATCTATTACTTTGTGCATAAAAGAATATGACAGAGATGGCTAGGTGGGTCCCAGGGGCAAAGTCTGCACAAATGGAAATGTATGGTACAAAGGTACAGATAGTGGGCAATGTCCTGAGCACTGTGTAATTATGGACACACCATAAAAGTCCATCAAGCCAAGTTACATCATGGCGAGCAATAAAGCTGTTAGGGACTCTTTCTATTACAACAGAGAAGCTACATGTACATAAACTCTGCACTATGTAAATAATGCATGTTATTAAGCTACTTTTCAATCATTTTAACTTGTTAGCAAACTGACTTTTACATAAACCCATAATAAAGCTGGTATGATTAGGTTCTATGGTTTCTTTAGTTATGTTCATAAGTGCAGTTTCATACTGGTATCAAACTACACAGCACCATTAAGAAAAATAAGCTTCTAGCAAACACACATATGTTTTAAGGTTGCTGAACAACATTTACAGGAATAGACCGGCGCATACTGGTTGTCAGTTTATTGTACAAGCCATTAAGATGTGAGCCACAATGCTTCTAATAGTTTAAATACCTAAACCTTGTCACAGTACGTTACACAAGAATGTCAGTCACTAAGGAAATAAGGAAATGGCACATTTTGACTGGGTCGCATAGAGCGCATTTTTAACCTTGAGGCTTTAGATGTCGCTAACACATGCAATACCCAGAAAAAACATTATGAGAATTCTACTTAGAGTCTGAGAAACTCGCATCTGAGCAGGTGCACCCACCTAGGTAGCTGAAGCATAGGTAATAACTGGTGTTAAGAGAATGAGAAATTAGCTACATTTTGCTCATATGACACTTGATCATAGCTTTAAAACTGTGACCTTGATCTCTCTAACCAATAAAACAGCAGCAGGCATTGTTTGTATGTAATGGGTTCACAAAAAAGCGCTAAGCCCCAAACTTTTTCTGCTGGTCCCCCTTTTTGTGGCTAAAAATAATTTTGAGTTCCCCCTTCCCACCCACATCAGTTATATTTAGCCATTGAGGTGCCTCCGCTGAGTTGACTCTGGGCCCCCTGAGTTTGGGTATGTTAACCACAAACCATGGTAAACTGCACCTGTAAATACTGGCTTTAGTTAAAACAGTTAAAAAGAATTTGTCCTCCTCCTTCCACTCTGCTGTCCTTTATCTAAAATATTTTACACTTCTTGCCATGTTACAAAGTTATTAAACATGCAGGACACAAACCTACATTTGGTTGCTAACACTGACTGTAAAACTAGAGCCTCAGATCTTGGCTGGTGAGTTCTTCGAAGCTTTGTTTAAAAATGACAGTGTACTTTTATTGTAGGGCTAAATATTCAAAAATTTTCCTGTGGACAAAATTGTTATGTTACATACAAAACCTGATACTCAAAAAAAAAATTACACATTTATATCATTATAATTAACTCCATGAGGTTGTTTTGAAGTGTAATGAGACACAAATGCCAAGGTTATTTACTCAGTTTGTGTTGGGCCAGTGCATGCTTTTAATAATTAAACAGCATTTCTGTGCAACACACTAGGACTAATACCACAGTTTCATCGTAGATCTTTCTGTTAAGCAGTGGTAAATGGTCAGTCCTTTTATAGCCCTGCTGTATGTCCACTGATGACTTTGACAGGGGTCTCAGAAAAGACCTGCAATGTTTTCAGTGGTCCCATTCAGTGTTCTCGAGTGCAGAGCCAAAAAAACCCCTGAAAACTACCATTGTCCTAATATGTTCCATACTTACTGCAAGTCTCTGCCAATTGTTTTGGCAAAAATCTTCAAGAAGCTCCATCCTCCGCTTCCCAGGTAGAAGATCAGGACGGCCAGGAGAACCTGGTACCAAGGCAAGTCCACCAGCAGCCTCAACACAAACAGCAGGGCCGTGCTACATGCTAAACGCATCATCCTGGAGGGATGCACACATATTATGTTCTACAGGCTGTAGCTAGAAATCTAAAACATTTCAAACAAAACATCAGTGGGAGAAAGGCAACATGTGACTTAAGGAAGCAAACATGATTGTGAATATACATCTTCACAATGGTATTCAGGCCACCCACATAGATATGTTATCTACTTTACACATGCTGTGGCCATTTTAATCCACTGACTTGGCTCTAGTGGGCTGTGAGTTTGTAATGAATGAAGAAAGGGTTATCCATGTGAAATAACAAAATAAGATCTTGTGTGAGATCTGTAGGTGGCCATAAAGGTACAAACCTTTTAATAAACAACTAAACAGAGGAATGTAGATTTTTAAATGCACAGAAATGGTGAAAATGAGAAAATCCTTGAGGTTCTTTTCTCTTGCAGTTGAATAAAGCCCAAGATAATAGAGACCATAGGCAAACACTAACTCAAAGTGAACAGTCTTGCAGTGACAGCATGTGTTAACACTGATGCCACCTGATAGCTGGGAAGATGATCCTAAACCAGTAAAAGATAAGTCTGCACACTTGCTTGTTATCTATTCATTAGCCTATGTCGCACAGCACAGCTTGGTGGTTATTTCTCTTGCTCATTACTGAACAACCACTGGACCTTTTTTTTTTTAATAGTATGTTTTATGACAGTATAGCACGTCTTCTAGAGCCAAGATGCTGGCTAGATATTTATTACTCTGCCTTCCTGCATGTGACAGTAATGGTGATGATCAATATCACAGACAAACCGACGACCTGTGTGGATGACTAAATTACTCTGAAATGGATAGACAATATAAGATTTCACACACCTCAAGGGAAAGGAAGACGTTAGACTTTCGCCCGGCCACACGAATGCAAAATGATTCATCGTTTGCTGCTGCTACACCCGGAAACAGAAATGCGCGCAGCATCATACTGCGGTAGTGGATGTAGAAATCAGGGAGGCTCAACCCACTGGTGGTTAGCCAACACCTCACCAATCATGCCATGTGCGCTTACAGACAGGGCCTTCCTTTGTAGTCATTCGGATGCATTTATCTGGCTAACGTTAGCCTGCGCTCGGGTTATTATGGTGACAGTCGCGCCTGGGAAGCAGGATGCGCAGCATAATGCGCGTAGGAAGTTGGCAGACGGTAGGACAGCAGCAGCCGCATAAGACGAAGCGACTTGCTGAATAATGTACGGTTCACCTTCGTGTACATTACCTTTCATGGACCGAGAACTACCTGATAATAAGGGTGATACCACCAACCGCTCGACTCACGTCAGCGGGGCGATGACTAACAAGGCAAACAGGACAAAAGAGTCACTCCGCCGGGTTATCCCCTATTCTCACAGCACATAGTAATCGCCACTGAAGTCCGACATCGCGAGGGCGGTCGGCCAGCTTGGGCTGTGGCTGGAAAGACCTGCTCTCTATTCACATACCTTATACCTTGTTCACACAGTCACCGCATGCAGGTGCGCAGATATCCGAGACGTGAAGCTGCTTGTGTGCGATTCCACCTTGATCGGCTTATAGGCCAGCCTGGTCAGCCCCTCCGCTCGCTTGGCTTGACAGAGGCTCACAGAACAGCACACACAGACAGACACACACACACACACAGACACCGGGATCCCCTCCTGTTGTTAAAACCACAACGAGCTGCTGCTCCTCTCCTCCGGTGGGTCGGGAGTCAGAAAAGCTTGGCCGTGCGCGTCGACTTTGACCCTGATATTGTCACCATCAGTGATATAATTTCTGGGTTCATTGTGATAGGTAAGCTCGCTAGCAAGCGCAATTCAAATGACCTTATAATTTTCTTAGCTGCGCCCGCCCACTACCGTTAGCGTCTCATCGGTGCATCACGAATAAGCGTTGACGGACAGCTCCCAAGGCCAATGGGGTATTAGGAATTTTTGTACCTATCCCATCCGGCAGGGGCGGGGTTTGCGGCACTGGTGAAGAGGAAATGCGGTTGCGGCCCTCCTTGCTCGTCGACAGAGAAAGCAAGTCAGCACCAAGCACGTAATAGTAGTTTCCAGGCGGTAGCGACAGGGTTCTGATGCGCAACCGTGTGGTGTAATGAGCCCTGCCTCTGCCTGCAGAGTCCGCCTCAGCGCATCTATTCATTACTCCGCGCTCAGCCACAAGATGCGCTTTAAATGCGCATTTATCAACAGAGGGGGGCTCGGAGATTGACGGACAGCTTCGCAAACAATAACCATGACTCGTCTATCCAAGAACTAGGCCAAAATCTAAAAAACAAAACCTATTAGCTACCAGTCTGCAGGATGTCACTGCTTAAGGTCTTCAACCTGCAGCTGTCTTTCACACTCACAATGTTGGCAACAAATAAAATGCAAGAATAGGTGTAGCCTTGATAAGTGTCCAGACAGGACTGGAAGGTTATAAATGGGCCACACCATCTCACACACAGATGGTAACTGAATGATAAGCAGTGCAAAGATCAGAATAAGAAAATAGGATGACCTTGGACTGCAAACAAGTGATGAAAGTGCATACACACCATACACTTCTCGCATTTTTACTAAAGTGAACTGACACACAGACAGAGCATCATCAGAGCTGTAAAGCTCCTCAGCCACTATCAGTGATTCTCAGAGATAAGGGCACCCAGATACGGTCAATGCCACTTGGCTACTGTATGTTTTCTATTTAGTACATATAATAAACAATTTAGGCAGAGCAGTATTGGGGTGTTTTGTAAATAGAGCAAGAAGATAGCCATCCCTTTCTTTTTTTGCCTATTATGCTTCCGCCTTCCACTAGGCTTTTTTTTTTTTTAAATGAGTGATAACATGACATTCAGGGACATGTTACCGCACTAGTGTCTTATAGTTTGGGTTGAATTCAACAGATAGGCCTATTAGAAAAGATTACACTGTGAAAAAGAAACTAAATGCATCTATTCCGTAACAGCTGCACTTTCACTTAGATAACTGCATTTAATTTAACTGGTGGCATGGTGTGAATGAATATTTAAAAAAAGAAAAAACTACTATAGTCTATGCGATACCTACTGACATAGCTGAACTCAGCTGTTCCTTTTCAAAAATGAATGATATAACTATGATGTATCTGTATCTCTTTTGAGATGCCAAAGTGGGTTTAGAGGTGACAATGTAAACTGGAAAGATACCGTGTATGGCAGTGTCTTATGTTACTGTCAGTGTACAAAGCATAGTAAACCAGGAACTGAAACATTTTATTTTCCACTTTAAGTTCCTATACATAACAATTCAAAGTCAAAGAAACAGCTGTCATTCACACAGCCATCAGACATTCCCTTATCCAGACTTCTTTTACATAAGCTCAAATGTCAGTACAAAACAAATCCTTTCAAAGTTTTGCCGCAGTAGCATTTATATTTTTGCACAACCAAAAAATACTATTATATAAACATACATTTTCTGTGAGAACCTTAGGTTAATAGTTTACATTAAATGATCTCTCTTAAAGAAATATCAAACCTGCCTGCT